TCCTAAATCCCTGTATTCACACTGAATTTCCATATGAAAAGTACCTTAGATATATAAAAAGTTCATACCACTTCTTCACAGCCCAAGTTCTTGTATTCACACTGAACTTCGGTTGCAGGACATTCATCACGAACATGAACCTCAAGCTGAAAATACAAACAACCACAAAAGAATCTGACATTAACCTTAAAAGATCTTTCATTTTCGCCACAGCTCGCCTTCTGGCCTTCCAGTTCTCGCCCATAGTTAGTCTAGTGGTATGCGCCCTCGAAACCTATGGACACCCCTCTACGTCTGTACGGACAGTACCATTTCCCGGAACACATGATTGTACGTAATCCACCCCCCTGTGTAACTTAGCCTGCAAAACGAGAACTTGATGGTAGGCTACCACGATTTAAACTGAGTTATTTGTTGTAATTTTAATGTATCCATACCTAGAAGCCTTTTCTATAACGTGCACAGTGAAACTAAGCACAAACCAAAATAGCTTTCTTTTTGCGGCGTGAGATCTTTTTAACTTCTGGTTTGAAACGCAATGTCTTACTGCTCTTGACTAGTGAAATTAACACACAAGGTACTGAATTCTGCTCTGACTTAAGGTTACAAAACAAACCTTTCCTCGCGGAATATCTCTCACACCACACTTGTTAGTACACAGAACAGGAAACTTTCGGCAAATATCAAAATGTTTCTGAAAAAAATTAAACAAAAGTTTCCATCACTAAAGCACATTCGATAGTCGGTTCCCATTCGACATGACTCCACCATGGTTTAGTCTTGTCAACAGCTGGTTCACAATCATTAGAAAGATCAATTTGCTCAGTAACACAGAGTTTACACTTAGCTAGAGAGTACTATAGACGAACCTCTCGACAACGGCCACCTTGGGGACACAAGAAAGTAGCCGTTGAAGAGAGGTGGCCGTTATAGGGAGGTAGGAGTATAATATGACACCTGTTTTTTTCGGGGGTGCGAAATTTTTATCTTAAAAACTGCTTATTTTGCAGATAATACATGTACGTAACACAATCAAAATTTATGAATAATAGAGAAACCAAATAGAATTCGAAAGAGAGACCAACGGCGCGCGGTACGGATCAGGTTTTGTGATCTTTTACAGTGAAAACGGGGTTTTGGATACAGCCTTCGTCACTCGTTCATTAACTGCCCGTCGTCAAAAGGTTATTTTGGCAGTCGAGACGCGCTTTAGTGGCCGTTGCCGCCGTAATCTTCTCACGGCAAATGTAACAGCTAGTCGCGATGCTCATCAAGATGAGAAGATTTAGACCCCCATCAATATTCATTTTTAGCCAATAAAATGGGTAAATTTGGTAGTTCCCAGTCCTACTGGGACACGGCCAATTAACTAAAAGATAGATCAACCACCACACAGCAGGTCTTAACATAAGATCAAAGGATGAAAGAAAGATTATCTTGCCTTTTGTGTGGTGCCTATTGTTAATTTTAAAATTTGTTCATCTAGTGCGAGGTCTGAAACTGAGAAATGTTCGGAAACCGCTCGGAACTCTTCTATTCTCTATGCACAATTGGATGCCCCAAGAATTTGCGGTCGGCCCTCGCAGACCACGTAATGTTTTATACTCCAGTCCTGAAATGACCGCGTACGAAGCAAAATATGCGTTGTCTCTTTCACTCGTCCTCCAGTTTGATGTGAGCGCCCGCGGT